GATATGCAGTACAGTGCATATGACACCCACACCCACATGACACCCACACAAACTATGTGACTGTACCCATTCCTCTAACAACATATTGATAAATGACAGCACAATGTACATAAAGAAAACTAGGAAAACATTTTTAACCTTCCCATTCAGATCTGATGTTTTAATGAGGGCCTGCCTCATTCTGAATTCTTGAATACTTACTATGACTGTGGCTGGTGTCCCACTGTCAGAATATCTGAACAGCCACTGCAGCTGATTGGCTGCAGTTACTGATCAGACAAGAATTTTCAGACTGGCTCCATCGACAAAAGTCGATTGAAAAAAACGAGGAATGTCGAGGGGGCCACACACTGCTCACATTTCGGGTCAGCAGGAGCAGTTTAAAGTGATATTAAAGTTGAAATGTTTTTAAAGGAGAACTATGGGGTCAGTGTTTTTCCCCATAGTTCTCCTTAGGGTAACGGGAGGACACAAACTAGCGTCCTCCCGTCACCCTAAGCTCAGTATACCGCGAGCTACAGCTCGCGGTATACTGAGACGCCGCAGCCGGAGCGGATCCCGACGTAGATGACGGGATCCGCCCAGCTGCGTGAGTGACAGCTGGCTCTGCCTATCTAGAGGCAGAGCCAGCTGTACCCGCCCCCTCCCCCGTCCGTTCCGCCAGTCAGAGAGCCGTGACAGGATCGAGAGGTGAGCGAACCTGGTATGTGTTCGCTCACCTCCCGATCTACTGAGCCGACCTGTGACAGTCTCATTGTCACAGGTCGGCTAGAACTATGAGGTGAGTGGAAATCACTCATCTCATAGTTCTCCTTTAAGCTATTTCAAATGCTGATGAAATAACTTACAATGGATGCTGCTCCTTTATATTTAAAAGTTTTAGTTTCCTGCTGAATTAGCTGTTTCCTTAAGCACTGGTCCTGATATCCTGTTTTAGGGTGACTCCATTCCCTTGCAGGGTCCTAAGGAGCCACCCTTGTGTGGGCTAGAAAGCTGTGTGTGTCTCCACAAACACACAGACAAAGTAAGGCAAACCAGTTGCGACCTCCCCTCTCCTCCTTCCTCTCTTCTGCAAGCTAGTACAGTACATAGACAGCTGCTGGAGACTGCTCTGTCCTTTGCGATCTTGTACTGGACTGTGATCCAGTTCTGATGCTCATGTGCCCATTGTCGGCACTTTTTGCCATTATAAGATGACAAGCCTGGAGCTTGCACCTTCAAACACAGATTGTTGTTCCAGCTCTCGTGGTTCTATCATCACAGGTTCTCTTCAAGTCCCCGTTCACACCTTCGTGTTCTGTGAACGCATGCATTGACGTGCGCTCGCACAACGCGTCAAAAACATGGAGCGTACTTGCGGTGCCATTATTTGCTAATGGCACCCCAAACGCGGCCAGGAAAATATGTTTTGGCATGCGTCAAATGCGCAGGAAAATAAGTTCTACACGCGGAAAAACACGGCGTGGAAACAGAAGACAACATTGTTAAATCCGATCTTTCTTCCAAACTCTAATAATTACTGTCAGCCTTACAAACATCAGCTTTACAGATGCCTCCACCGCAGAGGAAGGACCATGAGAGCCATTCAGCATGGTAGATTAGCCAATTATAACTCCGCAATGCTGACACTAATCACATCAAAAGTTTCTTAATAATAAAATATTCATCATCGTTGTCCCCGGCGTGACTCCGCGGTGGGATACGTCGTCCCCTCAGCAAAAAATATTCCATTTATTTTACGATTGCGGGGTACAGTTCTTATTACAAGGCTTAATCTGTCTGCAGCAGTAATTTATTACCCCAGACAGCCGGGACCATAATAAGCAATGCCAGCAGTCTCCTGAAAGATTTCATTGTATCTTTTTAATTGTTTGTCTGTTGCGAAAGATGCCGCACTCCAATTTAAACCAAGAGCTCACACTACCTGATGCCTTATATCGCTTGTTAAATCACTAAGGAGATTTAAATTGCATTTCGTGTGTGCTGGTGATTTCAGCTGCTATTGGGAAGTCTGCACAAGTAAAGCAGAGATTCACTTTAAGTCCTCATTTACACGAGAAAAGGCCGCCACGTACAGCTCCGTGCTGCGTGCATGGCTGTATCGGGCAGCTCCCGGGAAGGACAGGTGCTGCGTGTGATTAGTAAACAGCCCCTGCCCTTCTCTATGGGACTACGCAGCCGTATTCCCCTACGCTCACCTCAAGTGCAAGTCCGTAGGGGTGCGTGTTTCCTGGCTCGGACACAGAAAGGATCCATCCTGTCAGCGTACGAGTACGGACACACGCACGGACGTGCAGGGCTGCGTACTCCCATAGAAAAGGACGGGGGCTGCGTACTAATCACACGCAGTCCTTGTCCTTCCCGGGAGCTGCCCGATACGGCCGTGCACGCAGCACAGATCTGTACGTGCCGGCCTTTTCATGTGTGAATGAGGCCTTAATGAGATGAGTATTTCTAATAATGATGGGCGGAAAAAACTGTGTGCCCCATAACTATACCAGGGCAAAGTCTTCTGTCTGTGCCACCTAGACAAAAGCCTACTGTGCCTTATGGTAAATCTGGCCTTGGGTTGACACTTTGGTCTAAAGCTGGCCATACAATTTTTTTCACTAGAAAAAAATAGTTTTTGGAATGTTTGATTTATTATTATTGGTATTTATATCGCGCCGACAATTTTATGCAGCGCTTTACATAGCGCACATTCACATCAGTCCCTGCCCTCAAGGAGCTTACAATCTAACGTCCCTATCTCACGTACATACAAGGGCCGATTTAGACAGGGAGAACATGCAATTTCCTTGTAGGTAGTGACCTGGCCGGGATTTGAACCAGGGATCCCCAGTGCTACAAGGCAGAAGGGCTAACCACTGTGATTTTATTTCTAATAGTTAAAAGGGTCAAACTGATGATTGTTTTTGACTGTAGCGATGAAAAAAATCGAAGGGTTGGGATGGACATTTTTTCTTGAATAACTGAAATTCCATTAGTTTTTGGTTTTTATTCGGGAAACTCCATTCATTCCAAAATCGAATGTTCAAATCAAATGAGATTTCGAAGGACATTCATCAAGTCTCTGATGTCATTTTTGAATGTTTTTATGAGATCTTCAGAAAAAAATCTACCAATGTATGGCCAGCTTAAAGGGTTATTAAACCCTTGCATGTTTTTGTATATATCTATGGCTAGCAAGCAGTAGATATATGCAAAACGATAAAAAAAAAACGTTTTCAAAGGGTTAATACTTACCTGTGTCTCCGCCGCGCGCTCCCGCCCGAACATCTGAAAATTTCTCGGGCGGCCGCAAAGGATCTTGGGGCGGGCGCATGCGCAGTTCAGATGTTCGGCCGGGAGATGAGTAGAGACACAAGGTAAGTATATGGAGCAGAAGCACCTGCACAGAAACCGTGGGACATCAGAGGAGGACAGAGGAGTCAGCGCTGGATCGGAGACCTGCACCAGCGCTGAAGGGACAGCTGAAAACTACAGGAAAGAAGAAGATCGGATTAAGAGGCATCATTTAAGGTAAGTCCTTAAACTGTGGGTGGGGGGGGGATTTGACCTTAGGCCCGGTTCATACCTGGGCGTTTTGTAGCGCGTTCCTACGCTCTGCAAAACGCTCAAACACCGAAATCCCATTATTTCCTATGGGCATGGTTCACACCTGGGCATATTACAGGCCGTATGAAAGCTCTACAAAACGGCCTACGCCCAAAGAAGTACAGGAGCTTCTTTGGGGCGTATTTGCCGCGCATATCCATTGGGATACAGCCAGGTAGCCCTCGGAAACGCGCGTTTTTTTACCGCGAATCGCGAATGACCTTAATGTCACTTTAAAGTGCAACTGAAGCCAAAACTTTTTTTTCGTTTTGAATAGAGTGGAGAGGAATTAGAGCATCTGTCAGGTTGTTATTGCTGTCTGCCTCCCCGTTAGGAAGATTCTTCCTCTCTATTTGCCCTGGTGACCGTCACCACTGAAAGAAAATCACAAATTTCGGGTTGTCATCAGAACAGGGCTAGATGGAAAATCTTCCAATTGAGACACTAGTTCAGCCGACCACCAGATTTTTCTCATTTATTTTGGAGGGATTTCCTCTCACTTTCTGTTGAGCTTATCAGACAGGAAGTAGATGGAAATCTTCTCAATGGGATACAGATTGTAAAAAAAAAAAAAACAAACAAACCTGAGTAGGGATGCACCGATACCACTTTTTTAAGACCGAGTACGAGTACCAATACTTTTGCTCAAGTACTCGCAGATACCAATTACCGATACTTTTTCTTAAAGGGACAGGTCACATTTTTTCTAAAGCAATACAAACTAATGCTTTGAGGTCACTTTCTTAATATTATGATTCATAAGTCATTACACGGCGCCCGGTTTCCGGATTTGCTAGCTTCCTGACCAATCGGGAAGCCGGGCAGCGCGTCATTGCACGCTACCAGGCTTCCAGATTGGCCGGGAAGTCGGCTCCATGCTCTCTCATCACAAGTGACGAGAGAGCATGGAGCCGTTTCCTGGACAATCAGGAAAACGGGCAGCGTGTAATGATTCGCTGCCCGGCTTCCTGATACAGGAAGTACTTGTGCTAGGTATCGGAGCATTTGGGCCGAGTACTCACCCAAATACTCGGTATCGGCACCGATACCGATACTAGTATCGGTGCATCCCTAAACCTGAGACTGGTTATAACTCTTCCTTGCTCTATCTAAAACTAAAACAAGGTTTGATCTACTTTAGGCATGTAAGAGGTCATGTGATTTATGTCTCTTGTCCTCAATACAGTGACATGAAATGCCTGCTGTCATTGTTACATTGTATACCTTCCTTTCCAAAATGGAGTGTTTGTGTGCTGATGGGAGATACCACTGCTGAGTTCTGGGACTTTGTATCTATAAAGAACACAGTCACACTGCGCAGTCTGTGAAAATGTCTTCCTTTATAAAGAATGGTCACAGATTGGTCAGTTCAAACTTTTCCTGGAATACCTCTAAAAATAACACTTTTGTTTTGCAACACACAGCGGCATACAAACGTCTCTTTATTTTATCCCGGCCTTGTAAGGGCATGCAGAAAAATTGTCCACGAACACAGTGTAGAGAGGGTTGGCTGGACTTGTGCTTCTCGGTCAGTTTGCTCCCCTGCCAGCGGGTGGCGCCTGAGAGCTCACTGGTTTGAGGCAGGGGTAGTGGAGGTCTTCTCTGCCTCTGGGTGGTTGTTGAAGAAAGTCAGAAATGGAATGACTTGTGAAGGGGTTTTCAGGACACCATGCTCCAGATCTATGCAGCTCTGCGGAAGACAAGGAATCATAGTAAACATTGTGAAAAGCGTTTCACAGGAAAACTCTAATCTTGTTCATGAGATTTTTAGATTTACATAATTAGTTGTATTTGTTTACATTAATGTGGAACTTTGTAATAACTTTACAAGTCCGCATGAATACATTCCTGACATGTCACCATATACAGCAACAGTACTATGTATTAAACAAACTCCTTTTATAATTAAAAACCCATTGTGGAGCTTCAGTCTAATGACTGAAGATGACGTCATCAGTCTGCTGCAGGTAGGAGGAAGCATTTCCCCAGTCTCCTCTCCCAGTGATCAGACTGCAACATTGTAACTTTGTAACGCAAGGTGAGAGGCTGCAGCAGGGGCTGATCTGTGTTAGACATTGGTAAAAACTGCCATGAACTGCACAGACCCCGGTATTTACATAATTGTGGCGTCTCTGAGCTGACATCTCAATCCAGGAAGTAAATGGTGACCCTGGATGATGCCTGAACTAAGATGGTGACGTCCTTCTGGAGCATAAATCAGATGAAGACATTGTTAGGGGAGTACTGCAATCTCTGTGAGAGGTAAGAAATACCTAGAAATATTACACTAAACTGGCCATACACATTGTGATTGTTCTTGTTGGGCCCCGTGGCTGAAATAGAAAAAGCGTTTGATTCCCTCATCTACATTATTTAGCGTGGGCTAAATGTAGAAAAAAACTACTCGCCAGACAGCCAGAACTGCATGTCCCTGGCATCAGGAGATAGGAATTCCCCACCCCTGCTGCCCCTCTACTCCCTGCTGCCCCAAGGCCGGGCCTTGGTTGGCTTTGTGGGAAATCTGGCCCTGAATGTCAGCTGACCTTTTTCCACTTGCCGACACCACCTGGTTGATGTACTGGGTGGTGCTGTCACAGCCGCCCACGGATCAGTAATTGGCTGAAATGCAATACTTGTATGGCCAGCTTTGCACATTACTCAGCATCCTGCACTTGGCATGAAAACATATTTCTGATGATAGGTTCTACTTTAATGCTTTAAAAACATTGTTTTCACCATCAATTTTTTGATGTGGGTGATACAGAAAACTGCAAAATAAAAAATCTAGTGTGTATGTGTAACATAGTAATGGAAATATGGTACAGCAAGCATGAAAATATTATGAGTAGCAGTCAAGATGAGGCCCACCCTGTGTCTCAACCTACCGCTGTAGAAGGGAAATTGCAGGACATACCTTGAGCTTTACCAATGTGTCCAGACCGATGCTGAATTCTGCACTGCCGTCATCTGTTAGGGGGGGGGAAACAAATCAATTCCACTGCAAACACCTAAAAGTACAAATCCCTGTGATCATCAGTATGCTGATATCGCCTACCCTGTGTCGGTGTGTACTGCTCACTGTCACTGGCCCTGAGAAGACAAGTGTAAGCAGACGCATGAAAAGCAAAGAAAGCAGCAGTTCAATTGTCTAAGACAGCGGTTCTCAAGCTGTGTAACCTCGGGGGCCACACTTGTCTTTGGTCATTCAGTCCCGACCCGAGTCGCACCGCACTGGAAAGCACGGCATTGCAGTACCGCACGTTCCGGTGCAGGGAAATGGCAACGCACCTCCTGCACCAGAACCTGCAGTAAGTGCAAATGCATGGTACTGCACTAGTGTGAATGGACACTCAAAAACAAAGACAGACGCACACAACCGCAAACATTCTCACATACGCACGCCCCCAAAAAATGTTTTTCTTTTTTAAGTTCCCCCCAGTCTCCCTGCCTTATGAGAGCTGGAGTGGATCCTCAGCATGGGGTTCAGTGCGGGCTGCTGTGCTGTGAAGGAGCTCCATCCATATGTGCATTGCTTGTACAGCTCCCTGTAGAGGTGCTGGGAGCCAGAATGTGACATCACTCCGGTCCAGGCACCTCTACAGGACACGAGAGGAAGCTGTAAGCAATGCATGTATGGATGCAGCTCCCTTGGCGGCCATAGCTCCAGACCACCCCACCTCAAGCTGACACTTGACGCTGGGCAGCATATTTTGAACTGACAGTGCTGGATAGGGGGAGGCTGAGGAGCCTCTCGCCTACAGCAGTAGAAGGCATGTGACGACCCACTGAACACTAAACCACGACCCACTTTTGGGTTGCGACCCACCAGCAGAGAACTATGGGTCTAAGAGTACCTGTCTTCTACCCTGCCCACCAGGAAGGCATCAATGTCTTTCTGTAAATGGCATTTTTAGATAGCAT